AAGTCCAAGGTGGCAATGGTGTGCAAGGGTTCAGATCTGAAATCCGTTTGTTGCATTATTCACCCGGAATCACTTTGCGCTCAAAAGTTAAAGATGGACCACGTCATGAATGTGGTGGTTAACTCTGTGAACTGGATATGCTCCCGTGGACTGAACCACAGTGAGTTTACAACTCTGCTTTATGAACTGGACAGCCAATATGGCAGCCTTCTGTACTACACGGAGATTAAGTGGCTCAGTCGTGGGCTGGTGCTGAAGAGATTTTTTGAATCGTTGGAAGAAATCGACTCCTTCATGTCCTCCAGAGGAAAGCCCATTCCTCAACTGAGCTCTCAAGACTGGGTGAAAGACTTGGCCTTCTTGGTGGATATGACAATGCATCTGAACACTTTAAACGTATCTCTCCAAGGGCATTCACAAATCGTTACACAGATGTATGACTTGATTCGGGCATTTCTGGCAAAACTCTGCCTTTGGGAAACTCATCTGGCAAGGAATAATCTGGCCCACTTCCCCACACTGAAATCAGTTTCCAGAAGTGAAAGTGATGGCCTGAACTACATTCCCAAAATTGTGGAATTGAAGACTGAATTCCAGAAAAGACTGTCTGATTTCAAACTCTATGAAAGCGAACTGACCCTGTTCAGCTCCCCTTTCTCCGTGAAGATCGAGAGCGTACACGAAGCGCTGCAGATGGAGGTCATTGACCTGCAGTGCAACACGGTACTGAAAACCAAGTATGACAAGGTGGGAGTGCCCGAGTTCTATAAATACCTCTGGAGCAGCTACCCAAAATACAAAAACCACTGTGCAAAGATTCTTTCCATGTTCGGGAGCACCTACATTTGTGAACAGCTGTTTTCCATTCTGAAGCTGAGTAAGATGAAGTACTCCTCCCAGTTAAAGGACTCACAGTGGGACTCTGTCCTCCACATCGCGACATGAGAACACTTCCAGCCATTCCCCACAGGGAGGAAGACTGGAATCCTCCCGGCCCGAGGGGTTTTGAGATGGGGAAGTGAAATATTCAATGTTTCTGTTTTTCAGTGTTTTTCACTATGACTTGGAAACATAATTTGCAGTATCATAACTGTTTTGTAATGATATTTTATGCTTCACTATAGTCCAGTAAAAACCTAGAAAGGTTTCTTGTATTTCTAGGAGTTGACTTTCCTTATGCCTGGCCTGTGTCACTCACTCATATACTTGCTTCCTGCCTATAGCCGTTGGGGCCGGCATCTCCAGGTTTAACCAAGTCAACTGAGAACAGGGAGGTAGACGGATGTGTGTATTCATTGAGGGGCACGCATGCACACACATTTATCACCCCCCCCCTTTCAGATGGTGTCCCTCTTGACCTACCATGGTTCCAGGTTCAAGTAGGGTTGGTGGGAAATGTATTCACAGGCTGCAGTATCCCTGTGTTACTGGCCTCTGCCTCCACAGGACCCCAGAAAGGTAGGGCTGGAAATGGAAAACCCCTGAACAAATAGCATTTGCCTTGAAAAGGCAGAGAAAGTTGAGCCCTGCCCCACTTGTATTTTTTTCAACTTCATTTTGAAATAATTCGAATTTACAGAAAAGCTGCCACAATGCAGATAGTATGCCTGTCAGCCGGATGCCCACACGGAGCACTTCACCCTGTGCTCCCTCACCAGTTTGCCTACCCCACCTCTCCTGTCTCCTGTGTGTTCAGCGGCACCTGCAGGGTAGAAACCAATGAGTAACTGTGATGTGTGTGCAAACTTCTGTGCGTAATTTTTATGAACATTTGAGGGAAAGTTGTACACCTCATTTACCCCTAAATACTTTATGGAGTATTTTCTAAGAATAGGGACATCTTTGCCCTGACCAGTGTGGCTCAGTTGGTTGGGTGTCATCCCACTAAGCAGAAGGTCACTGGTTCGATTCATGCCTGGGTTGCAGGCTGGCTTCCCACTGGGACACATGGGAGAAGCAGCCAATTAATATTTCTCTCCCTCTCTTTCTCCCTCCCTTCCCCTCTAAAAATAAATCAATAGCCCTGGCTGGTGTGGCTCAGTGGACTGAGCACTAGTCTGTGAACCAGAGGGTTGCAGGTTCGATTCCCAGTCAGGGCACATGCCTGGATTGTGGGCCAGGTCCCCAGTAGGGGGCAAGTGAGAGGCAACCACACACTGATGTTTCTCTCCCTCTCTTTCTCCCTCCCTTCCCTTCTGCCTAAAAAACAAATACATAAAATTTATTTAAATAAATAAAATCTTTAAAAAAAGAGATATTATCTTAACATTACCAAGATTTAGTTACCAACTCCAGTGTATCAGACATTGATGCGGCACTTTAATCCGTTTTACCATTCATACTCCAACTTTGTCAGCTGACCCAGTAAGGGCCTTGTTATTAGCATTTTCCCCCTGGCGGGTGGCCATAGAAAAACACACGTGTGCACGTGTGTGTATCTGTGTTCTTGGTCTCTATTTGTCATTGGAATTAGTGACCCCAAATTGTGAAAACTTCAGGTTGCAGGAATTAATCTCATTAGGGCGCAGGCAGGCTAAGGACCGTGATCCAGTGGCCCATGCAGGAAGCAGTGGAGAAGGAGGCTTTCATAAGGGTGAGGGGAGGCTGCAGGGGGGAGAGACCACAGTCTGCAGGTGGTTACCTGGCAAGGCACCCAGTGCCAGCTGGAGCCTGAATGCTTGTCCGCAGACACGGGAAATGACCCAGCCTGGGCAGTTCCTGTCATTGGAAGGTTGACTGCAGGTACAGCTGGGTCCTGCTAGTTCAGAGGCTTACTTCCTGGGAAGAGACCCAGGATGGACTGATTTATGGGGATGGGGGGACCAACTCCTGGCGCACCTGAGCAGATGTGTGCCCCAGATATCATAGGTGGGGCCCTGCATTAACCAGACTTGCCTGAGACTTGAGAACTTGAATAACTTTCAAACAACACTGGTTGGCTGGCAGGGAAGGCTCAGCCTCCCCATTTTAGAGACAGACAGCTGAGGCGCAGAGTAGTTGAAAGGGCTGCCCTGGGCCACATGCCCAGCAGAGGAGTCTTCAGGACTCAAACCCAGGTTTGTGTGACTCCAAAGCTCATGTTCTTTTTCCTTCTCTAAGTGGCCACTGTACCCGATGTGGAGACTGTTGTACAGCCTCAGCTCATCTGTCACATGTGTAGCTCCCTGGTGGTTAGCCTGGTGACAGGCAAGGGACAGCTGGGGCTGCCTTCTCCTGATGGGCCATTTGTGGGGTGCTTTGCATTAACTCCCAAGGCCCCTAGATTCCTTCTTTACCCTGCAGTGTGTGTTGGGACCTGGGTGCCTTGACCAGCACTGTCACTCATGTGACGGCAAAATGACTGAACGAGTGGGGTGGTTTTCAGCAGTCATACTGATGCAGTGTTTGCGAATGGGAGCTGCAGTCCCAGAGATGGGGAAGGGCTCAGCCCAGGAGCTGAGGCCTGGATTTGGTAGGTCCCTGTCAGCTCATGGGGCAGGGGTGGCCTGCGTGTGTCCCAAGGCCCTATATTCCTATCCAGGGTGGGCAGAGGAAAGAGCTGCTTACTCCTCCAACACAGGAAACAGACGTGGGGGCTGCAGAGGGCTCCGGAAGCTGTCCCACATCACACTCTGTCCTCTGAGTGTCCCTCAACCACAGCACTGAACCACAGGGCCAGAATAATGTGGTGGGTCCAGTAGGGCTTTGGAGTCAGAAAGAAGAAAGCCCAGCTCCTCCCAGCTCTGCTACCTACTTGCCCTGCCCCCCTCAACAACTCACCTACGTTTTCTGAGCCTTGGTTTTCTCATCCATAAAGTACCTACCTGATAGGACTGTTGCCAGAACTAGAGATGATGTAAAGAGCCCAGCACTATGCTTGGCCTCAAGAAAACTGGCTGTCCAGACAGTGCAGGCCTGACTCAGACCCTGGTGCCTACCACATGCCCACCCGGCAGCGTTCTAGTCCACTTCCCTGTGCATGGCAGAGGCCTGCAGGGGCGCCCTCCTGACCTCAGGCACACCCACCACCAGGGTCCTCCACACCAGCATGCTGTTGCGGGGCCAGCCCATCACCACCTCTGGGGAACTAGAAACAGAGAAAAACATGGGGGAAAGGGGTTTTACCTTGAAAAAAACTAAAAATTATGAAACTAAGTACTTTATCTTACACTGTGTTTAATTTTAAGTTATAATTACAACTGAATGAGCTAAAAGGTTGGGGTGCCTGTGGTTAATTTTTTCACAGCTTTGCATGACAGTCCCTAAAACTGGACTTTTCCAGCAAACAGGAGCCTGCAAAAAAAAAAAAAAAAAAAAAAAGCAAAAGAAGGGCCCGGTCGTTTTCTCAAGGCCTGTCTCCATTGTTGGATGATCACTTACCCTCTTGAAGAGCATCTGTCCCCTTCCCAATTTCCTCTGTCTCTAAGGGACCAGCCTTGCCTGCCCCCAGGTAGCCACTTTCCCACGGGAGGACAGCTCTTCATGTCACCTATGGCCTTTTGTTACAAGCTGCATCTCTGCAAGATTTGCAGCTCCAGTGTGCACCTTAGAGTCTTTGCATTTTGAGAAAGATCCACCAGCAAAATGTTTGAGGCCATAGGCTGGGGGTAATGCTGGGGTAAGTGATTAGGATCTGTTCATCTGAATATTTGCTTTCTGGGACGGCCTCCTAACTGCACAGGCTCTGGGTGAAGAATCAGAGATACCTCCTCCCTATACCTAAATTACAAAAATTTTTTGGTCAACTAAGGTGCACACAGGAAGTCACACTCTCCCCTGACCCCTTTGCTGTGTACTGTGTCCAACTTCATGACTGTTCTGCAGTGGAGCCAGAGTATGAGAAGGCAGCTGGGGTTCAGAAGTTCCTCTTGCGTTTGTGCTTACGCAAACATGATCTTGACCAAGGCCAGGTCAATGTGCAATCAGACCTCAGCTCTTGCAACTTCCCCCCTAACCTCAGCAGAGCTCACAACCATGTCTAATCGTAGCCCAACGTCCCTCGTGTCTCTGCAGAGCCTCTGTCCACTCCAAGTAACATTTATTGAGGGTGGAGGGTAGCTAGCTAGGGCGATGCCCAGAGCTGCCCTAAGCATCCAGACCGCAGACTCTAGTAACATATACAGGGATCCAGGCCAGAGGTGGCGGAGGGGCCAGAGCGTCACTGGGGGCGGTACCCGGGTCTCAGACGGCGGACGCCAGCTTCCGCTTCGTGCTGTCGCTGCAGCGGTTCAGGATGAGGTTTGCACTGGGCCTTGGGGGCACGGCCGGCTGCGGCTTCGGGCGCTGAGTCTCTGGCTCCTCAGCTGTCAGAAAGTGCGTCCGCGTAAGAGGCCCCGCCTCCCGTCCTCACCCCAATGCCCTCTTTGCCCTTCCGCCCCGCCCCAGCTGCCCCTCCAGCACTTACGCCGCGGGATTCCAGCGCTCGTTAGTACCGACCACGCTGGCCCCGCCCCCAGACTCCTCTCACCTTCTTGGCCCCGCCCCTCGGCTCCGGCACTTACCGAGCCGGCTCCCTGGGCTCTGCGGCCCCGGCCGCACCTGGCGGCGGCGCTGCTGCAAAAAGCGGACGCTGTTGCGCCGATAGGTGTCCTGGCTGAGGCGCTTTCGTGATTGCTGGTGGATGCTGTGCGCGTTGCGAATGGACGACCTGGGCCCAACGGGACAGGGACTTTGGTCATCGCCCGGGAGCCCCCGGCGCCCCGGAGCGGCCGCGTCCCTGCCCGTGGGGACTCGCATGGCCACCTCTGGGATCCAGCTACTGCCCCGAGGAAGTGGGGAGCGGCGGTGGGGGTTGGGGTGGGGAGGTCCGGCACGGCCTGACCGAGGCTGCCCTTCACCGGCGTGGGCTCTTACTGTGTCGCAGAGCCCAGCTCCATTTCCCACGCCTCTCACCAGCCTTCAGCCGGCCCCCTTCCCAGGAAGCCCTCCGGACTGCCTCAGGCCACAAAGACCATCCCCAAAGACTCTGGGCATCAACGCCTTCACCTCCACCTCACACCCCTGCTTTCCTACCACCCCGGTGTCAGTGCCACAGCGGGAGGTTGGGGAGGATGTCCTGACTCTTGACCCAGCGAGAGTGCTGCGTTCCCCGCCAGGCTCGGAGCTCCTACCCTGTCTCCCCAGCACCAGTTCCGCCAATCCAGGACCGACCGAGGGAACCCGTGGTACCCCCAGTCCCAAGGACTCACCTACGGGGCGGCGCCCCTCGGCTCTTGATCTGGCTTTGGGCTTGGGCTATGTCCTGCCCCGCCTTCTGCAGGTACATGGACGGGAAGTAGCCCGTGACGTCTTCTTTCCTGCAGCAGAAATAGAAGCCAGGGCAGTGGGGAGATCAGGGCTCCCTCTACACAGTTGGGGTAAGGCACCTGGGAGGTTGCAGACACCCAGCTGGCGAACACCAGACTCTGACCCTCTGGGCCTCAGTTTACTCATCTGTACAACACAGACCCTACCAGCTGTGATGCTGGGGGAGGAAATTAGGAAATCCAAACCTCCCCAGGGACGTGTGTTTGCCGTAAAACGTCTGCAAATACTGCATTTGTCAGTTTTTCTTTCGTGGGGATTGCCTTGTGTGTACTAAGACCTTTGCCCAACTCCACTCACCGAGTTCTCCTGTGCTTTCTTCCAAAAGCTGTTTAGGTTAGGGCTTTGTGCTTGGTAAAACCTGTGATCCAACCCAAATAAATGTGTATGGTGTGAAGTAGGGGTCTAGGTGGGGTTTTTCCTTCCATATGGATATCAAGTCATTGAAAAAACTTTTTTTTTTTTCATTCTCATGGTTGCATTTGGGACTGAAAAAAAACTTTTCAATACAAAATCCACTCAGTAAAACTCTGATTCTTCTTGGCTAGTGGAAGAATCACAAGCAGACTCTCAGGGGTGCATGATAGGGGTTAACAAGTGTGAGTCTAAAAGGCTGAGAAATCCTGTCTCAAAGCCTCCAGCCCGGAGCCATGCTGGATGGCTGTTGTGGCCACAGTTCACTGGGGTCGTGCACCAGCCTGTGACCCAAGGGTCTGTAAGCACTGTGCAGGGACCTGGGGAGGCCCAGTGGCTCTAGGAAACTGTCTCTGCTTTCCCAAAACTAGGGGGGAAATGAGCAGCAAAAGATTTAACAGGAAAAAATGGATGAAGGGTCTATTCTACCAGTTATCGAACATAATAATTAATACAAAACTTAGCTGTGTTGCTGGACAAGGGATAATAGATGGTTGGTCAGGGTAAGTGACCCCAAGTCACAAAGGAAAAATGCACCTACTCTGACAAGGACACTGAACCCAAAACAGGAAGGATGGGATTGCCACTTGCCTACTACCACAATGGACACTGAACTCAGAGAGGAACTCACCCCGCGTCACACGGCCAAGTCAGCAGTAAGTCAGCCCAGACCCCAAACAGGCCCTGCCCGGGGCCGGGGCTGGTGCCATGGCAGGAGGCCTGCTCTCCTACCTGATCACCCACCAGCCGTCCAAGAGCTTATGAATGACCTCGATGGTTTCACCCTCCTGGAGGGACAGCTCATCCTCCATTGCAGCAGTGTAGGCTTTGATGGTGACATAGGGCTCACCTGGTCCACAGTGAGGGGGAGGGGCATGGTGTGAGGATCTGCCCAGCACAGGACTCAGCAGCCCTCCTCTCCTCTCTGGTCCTGGGGCTTCCTCCAACCCATCCTTCTGCAGGCTCCTCCCGGCCTCTTGTGGGGCATCCTGGAGTCCTGCCCTCCGGACCCAGTCCCGCCCACCACAGACCACACCAGGGGCCAGGAGCTCCCATGACTTCAAAGCCTTGGTCAGGCCCCAGCACAGAGGTGTGGCCCCGAAGGAAGTGTGAGGGTGGAGCACCTGTCTACTGACTCCAGCCAACGGTGGGCATGTGGGGCGGCGGCCCAGCTGGGCACAGCTTTTCCAGTTTTTGAGGAGGACCCACAAATCCACATGAGATTGTGAAACCTTTCCATTTTAAAATATGGGGAACTAGTTCTAACTTTCTTCAAACTCTACTGAAGCCCCATTCGGTCTGGGGGCTGCCAGTTTTTTCCTCTAGTCAGCAATGATGCCCTCCTCCTTCAGGCAGCCCTCCTTCCTGAGCCTCGGGTCTATTCACCTTTCAGGTTCCCTTTGGACCTAGCCCCAGTCAACTGCCACCCAGCATCCCAGGCTGACCTCATCATCCCCACCTCATTCCTCTTCCTGGTTCCCTCCCCTGACCACCTCCTACCACGGCTCCCAAGCCAAACGGTGGGGTCTCAGCTCTGACCCCCCTTCTGCCAGCCCCCATGATGTCCAACCCCAAAGCAGTAACTTCTGGCTTCTCAATATCCCCAGGTTCCTCCCACTCCTTCCTCCCACACCCCTGTACCTGCATAGTTGGGCTCTGGGTCCTCGGCCTCGTCGGGACTGTCCAGGGGCTCCAAGTAGGAGGCTGGGACCCAGCCTCGCTTTGTCTTCATTTGGCAGAACCACCAGCCTGTGCCCAGGGTGTGAGGCAGTAAGTCAGGTCGGGCCTGGCAGCCTTCCTCAGCCACAGGGTGGTGAAGACACTCAGACACACAGACATCCAACACTTACATTCAGAAATGTCACCTTCACCACACTCCATCATACACACACATAACACACAGAGTCACAGAATCAGAATTTGGAACCCGCTTCACACACACGATGAGGAGCTGGCCCGCCCGCCCAGATGCGGCCCCCAGAGATGCGCGGCGAAGCCTGCCTGTGTGCAGATGCCCACAGCGGCCCCAGAGCGCACGCTCAGAGACAGGGAGATCACGGTGTGGGGAGGACAGCCAGGGCCCCAGGGCGGAGCCTTGGTGGGGGGCCTGTGACCGTGGGCCCAAGCAGCAGGGGAAGAAGGTCCGCGCAGGACAGGAGACTGACCGCTCTCGCCCTTCTCCACGACTTCTACCACATCGCCCATGGCCAGAGCCATCTCAGAGCCCGATCTCTTCTCGTAGTCAGCAATGGCCCGGTACGTTTGCAGGATGATGGGGCCCGTGATGTCTGGGCAGAGGGAGCACAGGGTGAGTGGGTGCTTTGTGGGGGGGGGGCCTCCTGGCCTCCCTGTGATCCCTTGTGGGGCCATCAGAACTGGCGCTGGTGTCCCATCCACCCAGCTCCAGGCGGATGCTACAGGTGTATGTGCCCTGCAAGCTGGAAGGCAGCAGAGACCAGCTGCGCAGCCCTGCATTTAGTGAGCACCTAGTGTGTTCTAGTCACACACTTTACACACGTTCTCGCTCTCATTTCATGATGTTAGTGAGCAGTCCCCCTCACTTTCAGCGTGCGCACAAATCACCCCGGGTTCAAACTGAAATGGATCTCTGATTCTACAGGTCTGCAGTGAGACCACAGGGCCTGCACCTTCCACCAGCCCCGAGACGAGGCAGCTGCTGGTTCTGTGTTACGGGCTGAACTGTACCCCGACACCCCAAATTCTCACACTGAAGCCCTAACCCCCACTACTCTGGAATCTGACTGGATTTGGAGTCAGAGTCTTTGAGGAGGTGACTAAGGTTAAATGAAGTCATAAAAGTGGAGCCCTGATCTAATACGGTTGGTGTCCTTATAAGAAGAAGAAGAGCCCCGGCTGGTGTGGCTCAGTGGATTGAGTGCCGGCCTGTGAACCAAAGGGTCGCCAGTTTGATTCCCAGTCAGGGCACATGCCTGGACTGTAGGTCAGGCCCCCAGTGGGGGACACATGAGAGGCAACCACACATTGATATTTCTCTCCCTCTTTCTCCCTCCCTCCCCTCTCTCTAAAAATAAAGAAATGAAATCTTTAAAAAGAAGAAGAGAACCCGGGTGTGTGTGCGGAGGAAAGGCCACGTGAGGACACGGCGAGAAGGCAGCCGGCTGCGAGCCCGGGAGAGAGGCCTCAGCGGACACCACCCTCACGCCTGGACCTCAGACTTCCAGCCTCCAGGACTGGGAGAGATAAATGTTTGTTTTTCAAACCACCTAGACGGTGGTACTGTTATGGCAGCCAGAGCTGGATAAGACAGAGCTGTGTCACTCCCGAAGGCCACCTTTGCCCCTGAACCTGTTCATTCATTCAGCCACCACGTCCCCCAGCACGTGCTGGGCTCTGCAGCCACGGAGGCGAGGGGAGTGCCTTCACCACAGCTCTTACCTCCTGCTCTTTGCCCTGTACACCCTGAGCTCAGGTCCCTGACCAGGTCAACAGTCCCCCTGGGGTGACCTGCACTGGCTGCCCCTGGCCCTCTCACCTGCAACATTAGTCTTGCCGTCTTTAGGTACCAGGTATGTCTCTGGCTTTTTCACCCTGCAAGAGAGAACAGTCTGGGTTAGATGCTCAGCTTCGCACTGGGACATGGGATGTTCCCGGTGGACCTACAGAACTTCCGACAAGAGAAAGGAATGTGGGAAGGAGGCCACTGCAGAGAGAAGGGGCATCAGGGGTTATGGGGTGGTTGTCTTGCCGGCCTGATGTGGGGACCCCAAGGGAAGGCATCAGCTGTAAAGACAGCGAGGGCCTCCTGCCCTGGCACCCTGGTTCTGGAAGAGGCTCTTGTCAGCTCCTGGCCAGCTCCCTTCTTCTGGAGCCTGGACAGAGCGGCCAACAGGGGGGTGGGGCCTGCCTCTGGGGCCAGAGCCAGTGGGAGCTGCCCTTCCTGCATCCAGGGTGAGTTCAGGAGCACTGGCTGGAGCAGTGGTCTGTGGTCGCCCTGTCCTCCGGTCACCCCACACTCAGTGACCAGAAAGAGACCTTCCCAGCCTGTCCCCCTGAGATCTCAGCCTCTCAGGTGACTTCCATGCAGGGCCCTGAGGCCAGGAGACCCCAGGGGCAGGGGCAAGCAGAGAATGAGGTGACAAAAGGGAGCCAGGGGCCTGAGAGGTGTGCAGCAGTCAGCACAGGCCACCGGGGCCTCACACCCTCTGGCACTTTGCCATCTGTGAGCGCACCACACGGATAAAGGGCTTTCAGAAGGCTTTGGGGACCCCCTCCCCCCAACCCATGCCTCCTGTGGCCACGCCACTCGGAGGTGGCTGAGCAGAGACTTGGAAAGGATGCTCAATAGTTAGAGGTCACACGGGCCAGAGTTGGAATCTTGCCTCCTTCTCTTTCTGGCTGTGTGCCTTTGGGCAAGTTGCTTCCCCTCTCTGAGCTTCAGCCTCCTCATCTGTAACATGGGCAAAGTCCCGCCCCCGACTCGGGGAACCATCCCTCATCCTCTCCCACCTGCCTCAGACCAGGGCAAGGTCACTCACTGGCTGTCCGTGGGGAGCTTGAGGTCGTCGGGGCGCACCTTGAAGAACTCAAGGAGGTGCGGGCAGCGGGAGATCTTGACCGGCAGGCCCATGAGCGTATTGCAGTACTCGGTGAGTGTGCCCTGGCGGCTCTCCGTGGTCCGCTGCCCATCAAACCACTTTGGTGCTGACCAGACCAGGAAGAGGGGCCAGAGAAACGGTGAGCACATTTCTTGAGGTCAAGTCCAAGAAGACGTAGGGGAGGAGGGGGGAGCTTGGAGGGCAGGTGAGGAGAGCCAGACAACCCGCCCCGGTGACGCAGCCCCTCACCTGGCAGGTGGGGGATGATTCTGTTCTCCGAGTTGATGTCCCCCGCCTCAATAGGAAACATTTCCTTCAAAGTTTTCTAGACAGGATAAAAGACATGAAAGAGTATTTTTCATTACAACACTAAAACACACGGGAAACGACCCAAATACCCTCCTGATCGGTCACACTACAAACTTCCGCTGGCAGTCCTCTCTTTCTCCCCCACCTGCTCCAATCCAGCCACCAGCAAACGCTTGCAGTTCTACTCCAGGTATCTGTCCAGAACCTGACCCTCCCCACTACCCCCACTGCCACCACCTTGGTCTGAGCTTCCATGACATGAGGCCTGGGTTTTACTACCTTATGTCATTCCCTGCTTCTACCTAGTCTGTCCTCAATCCAGCCCCCAGAGGGATTCTCTTAAAACCTAAGTTGGACCCTGTCCCTCCCTGCCTCTCAGCTCACTAGGAATGGAAGCCGAAAGCCTCACCTCGGTCAGCAAGGCCCCACCAGACCTGGCCCAGCCCCCCTCACTCACCCCTTCTGCCCCCTCTCCCCCTTGCATACCTCAGGCCCACTCCTGCCCCAGGGCCTTTGCACTTGCTGTTCCCATTCTTTCTCCACATGTGTCAACGGTGCCCTCTCTCCTTCCCCTTCTTCATGTCTTTGCTCAGATATAACCCCCTCATTTAAGCCTTATCCTCGACAACTGTCTCTCCTTCCCTACCCAGTCCTCCCTCCCCCGCCTTGTTTTATTTTTTTCCATAGTTCTAATGACCATCTAACATGCTACACGAGTTACTTATTTTTGTGGCCTGCCATCCTGAGTTCTCCACTAGAACTTAAGGTCTACAAGGGCAGGCAAGGCTTTGCACCCATCACCTTCAGTAGTGTTTCCTGCTCACCGAGTAGAGCACGCCTGGCGCTTCATGCTCAATAAATACTTGTTGGATGAATGAGTGAGTCCACCAATTAATAAAAGAGGCTAATCCTACAATGAAGTAACTCAGAACAGTTGAAAGAGGTGAGATGGAGCCGCACACCTAGCGGCAAGGACAGGTTTCCAAAACGTGGCCTCGGAAGCCAGTGGCCTTCTGACGACTTTTACCCAGATGACAGAAAATGCATCCCCAATGCCACGCACACACGGTTCCAGAGCTGTGCGCATGCGCAGCAGCCCTGGGCTGGAGCCGGGATGAGGTTTGGGACACAGGGAGCCTGCCACTTCTTTGGTAACATTGTATTTCCCTGACCTAAAAGCGCCTCGCAGTGAACGGCCCAGTGACCTCAGTTGTGAGGACAGGGGCTGGGTGTGTCTGGGGCCAGTTAGTTTTCTTCACATTTATCTGCATTTTGCTTTAAATTTTTCTCACAAGAGAAATTCAGGAAGCCACAAAGTCAGGACTCCCTCCCTGGATAAGGAGGGCCCCGAACATGGAGTGGGCTCTTGGGAGACCCATCTGGCTTTTGTGGCCCCTCCACCCACCGGCTGAGCTCCGCACACCTTGAGCCCCAGTGACCGCCCTAGTTCTTTCCAACCAGGCTCCAGTGTGGGACCCCATGGCGTTTCGGAGCCTGTGGGATTCGCTCACGCAAAGCTTGGCGACAGCGGGCGCGCACACGGAGGAGCGCCCAGTTTGTTGGGTGTCAGGCTTCTCAACCCTCTTTCTGACCCACCAGCAGCCTCATCAGGCCACTGACCGTGAGTGAAAGTGCGAGCCCCTGGGAGGATGGCCGCAGTGCTGGCACTGGCCGGCCAGCCCCCTGCAGGGACAGAGCGTGTCCCTACAAAAGGCCCCTTGGAGCTCCTGTCAAACGGGCGCAGAGTGTCTGTGTGGGAAGGTGAAAACGTTTTGGAGATGGGTGGTCGTGACTGTCACTCGACATGGTGAGTATATTTAATGCGCTGAAAAGGGTTCGAATGGTACATTTATGTTATGCATATTTTACCACAATAAAAAATATATTAGTAAAATGTTTCTTCAAGATAAAAAAATGCCCCCGTAACTGTGGGCTGGTGCTGGCAGACCCCAGACCCCTCATTCCCAGCTAGCACCTGGGTCACTAACCCCCACCAAAGGCAGAGAGCTGGGGCTGGGTGGGGGCCCCGTCCCTGCCCCTGCCACCAGCACTCACGTGGAACTCATAGATCTCCGTGAAACGCCGGTAGACCACCTTCTCAGACAGGTCCTGCCACTTCACCAGGAACATGTACACCTGCGGGGGGAGGCCAGTTCAGCGTCCAAGGGCCTTGCCGTGCACCTGGGCTGCGCGCCCCCCCACCCGGTGGGAGCCCGAAGGACCAGGGTTGGGGCGCTCTCTAGGGCAACCTGGGCGGTAGAAAGGACACCAACCGCGTGGACCCCGGAGCTGTCACTCTCCAGCTGTAGGGCCCGGGACAAGGCGACCAGCCTCTCCCATATTTGCTCAAACTCCTGGCCTGTCCTTGGGGATAAACGCAGGCCCTCCCCCAGGACCGGTGTGACAGTTACAGGAGAGGAGTTGCAGACAGGCCTGGGCCCCGCAACGTGAGGACTCAGTAGGGTGTCGTGTAGCTCCATGTACGAGGGGGACCCCAAAACCGGAATTCATTTATAATAAGTTGTGTATTTATTGGTACATGCTTAAACTTCAGACACCTTCAAAGTACTCTCCATTTGAAGCAATACACCTATGGAGATGTTTTTCCACTGTTCAAAACCGGTTTTGAACTCATTGATTTTGTTGCCTTTTAATGCTTCTGCCATTTTTCTTGTTTCACCTCTTCCACATAGGCAAAATGTTTCCCTCTGAGGACTTTTTTAATCCAGGGAAACAAAACCAAGTTGCTCAGGTGAAATCAGGTGAATAGGGAGGGGCACAGAGGTGATGCTTATTTTGGTCAAAAACTGCCCAGCACTCAGCGTGGTGTGGGCAGGTGTGCTTGTAGACCACCCATCATGAAATGGGCAAATGCACTGAAAGAGTTCAAAAATTTTTTCACTTAAGTTGAATGCAGCCTCTCACAACACCACCAGCTGGCACACTGTTACAGATGGGTTACCAGAACACTCACCTAGTGGATAGAGCCTGTACTACAAAGAGCCAGCCCTCCAAAAGATAATTCCAGTTTTTTAGGTCCCCCTCCATATGTATATATGTACACAAAAATAAGTATATGTATATATACTATATACGTACGTATACATACATGCACTTATTTTCATAAAGAGGAATACAAAAAAGATGAACCAGAATGAGTCTTTGAGTATATTTTTATAAAGTTTTGATGTCTGATAACATGTGGATAGCTTACATATTTAAAAATAAAATTAAATCAAGAAGGAGGGGCACAGGTCCAAGAGGTCTAGAGGCAGTACAGGAAGATGTTAAACTTACCTCTTCCCATGAACACATTGAATTTACACCTACAGATAGAGCGATTTCCCAAAGGAAAGCGGGGGTCACTGAGCAGCTTCTGCACAGCAAATGACAGAGCACACGAAGAAAAGGAAGTGAGTGCAGGAGACGAGCAGGTTGTGGGCAACCCACCCAACACACACCCTGCAGTCGCCTGCCCCTGGGCACAGCTGAAAAACAGTGGTCTAAAAGGACCGGAAGGAAATCTATTTACTAACCCTAGAGCATTTGCCAAGTGGCGCAGGAAGTGGGGAACTCTCTAGGGTTGTAGGCGACAGAGTGCCATTTGGGCCCCCACTTCTTGATCCAGGTGCTCTAGCTGCAGGCCAAGGCTGTCCCGGTGCACCCCAGGCCCCCAGCAGCTCTGCTGCCTGTCCCCAGCGACCTGCTGCCGCTGGCCGGCTCCAGCTCCTCCTTCCAGCCGGCCTGTCAGGGCAGCCCTGTGCTGCTGGCCTCCGGGCAGCTTCACACCTGCCCTAGCTACAGTTTCTGCCCAGCTGTGGTTTGTCCCCTGGGCTTGCTGTAGACCAAGCCCACTTCAGCTACAGTCCCTGCAGGGGCTCACACCAACTTCAGCTCCAGGCCCTGGCTCAGCTTACCCCCCAGGGCCTAACTAAAGCCTGAGCCCACTCCAGCTACAACTCCTCCCTCCCTGCCAAGCCAGTGCCGGTGCAGCTCGCCCCAGTGACTTCCCTTGGCCTGTGCCCACTCCTTCTACAGCTCCAGGCCCCAGTAAAGCTCGCAGCCAGGACTCCCTTAGGCCCACGAACACTCCAGCTCCAGCTGGCCCGCCACAGATGCCTGGCCACACAGTCAACAAAACGGCAGCTCCTACACGAGGTCGCTCCTTCAAGACCAGGAGAAATTGCTGTTTCGCCCAACTCACAGAAACGAACACAGAGAGACAGCCGAAATGAGCAGACAGAAACGTCTTCCAAGTGAAAGACCAAGACAAAACCCCAGAAAAAGAACTAAATGAAACAGAGACAAGCAATCCATCAGACAAAGAGTTCAAATATTAGTTATAGGGATGGTCAATGACCTCAGCAGAAAAATAGATGAACTCACTGAGAAATGTAATAAAGACATAGAAACCACAAAAAAGAACCAGTCAGAAGTGAAGAATATAGTAACTGAAGTGAAGAATACATTAGAAGATCCTTCTGTAGTTCATAAACGTGATGATTAGGTGTTCATGCTTTTGTGTGTGAGATGTGCCTCCCATAAACCTTGTTACAACATCGGCACATTACCTGTCTGACATAAAAAATAAATAAAAAGAAAAAGAAAAGAAAAAAATACATTAGAAGAAATCAACAACAAATTAGTTGATGCAGAATAATGAGTCAGCACACTGGAAGACAAGGAGGTGGAAATTACCATTTCAGAACAGCAAAAAGAATAAAGAATTTTTTTAATGAGGGTAGTTTAAAGGACCTCTTGGACAATATCAAGTATACTAACATTTGAATCACAGGGGGCCCAGAAGACGGAGAGAGAGAGAGAAAGAAAGAGATAGAAAACCTATTTAGAGACATGATAGCAGAAAACTTCCCCAACCTGGTGAAGGAAGCAGACACCCAGGTCCAGGAAGCCCAGAGGGGCCCACACAAGGGGAGCCCACAGAGCCTGCACCAAGGCACAGTCGGAGTAAAAATGCCAAAGGTTAAGTCAACAGGGTTTTTCTTTACCTTCAACATTGGAAACAAACAGAAACAAATCTACCAGTATATCAAATGGGTAACAACCATATTAAAGAGAAATGAAAAAGAAAGAATCCAAGTACCTTTTAGCTACAGTACTTCTACTCCCTCAGTCTGAAGATAAAAGGACCAGAAAAACTGCAAAGAAACCTTCAGTTGGACTTAATATGTTAGCAGGTTTATTAATAGCAGTGCAGGTGTAGTAATTCTGAAACAAGTTGGTATGTATTGTAGAACTGAGCAATGGAGTAAATATACTGATTTTGTTGGGAGCCAGGCTTCCTGGGTGAGAGAAAGGAACTACAAATATAGAACGGCGAGAGGAAAGAATGATATGAAGTGGCAATTTTCCCCAGTGTGTCTCCTGGAAAGACTCTAGCACTCCTAGCTCCCAGATTGGGGTTCTAATATCACTCCCCACTAAAAAGGATCAGGAGGCTAAGCCTGGACCATCTTGTGCCAGAAGTAAGAATGTGCTCAAAGAATGGCAGGCACAGAAGCCAGCTTGAAGGAGCTCCCACTGGCCAAGTCTGGGAGCGACCTGAGCATCAAAACAACTCATGGTTGTAATGGATTATAACTCATTGAATAGTCAGAACCCATGGGTCCTTATTGACAAAAGTAAATAAGGGAGAAGGAAAGACCCTGCAGTAAAATGTTAAGTACTAAATGCAGGTTAGAGTTTAAAAATCACTATCTCAGCCCTGGCCAGTGTGGCTCAGGTGGTTGGGTGCCCATAAACCAAAAGGGCACAGAAAGGATGTCTGGTAGGTTCAGTCGTGGGTCGGGACACATGCCTGGGTCACAGGTTCCTTCCCAGTCAGGGCGTGCCTGAGAGGCAACCCACCCACTGATGTCTCTCTCTCACACATCGATGTTTTTCTCCCTCTCTCTCTCTAAAATCAACGAGCCCAAATGGAGGGACGGTCGACGAAATAACTGGTCCCTTCTTTTCCAAACGTCCCACTCGAGAGGGCGAGGAGAGATGGGACTGACCGGGACGAAGGAAGGCTGGAGAGACGCGACGACTGAAATGCAGCAGGTGGTCCCGGGCTGGACCCTGGACCTGAAACACTCTCACCGCGGAGGACGAGCGGGACGAGGGGCGACATCTGAGTGATGTGTGCGGGTGGACAGCAGCGTGTTCTCAGTGCGAGTTTCCGCGTTTTGACACGTTTGCGTCGCAGTAATGCAAGAGAATGTCACTGGTTTTTAACAAATTCCTCAGTATTTAGAGGTTAAGAAACAGCCTCTCCAATTGGGTCTCAAATGTTTCCGAAGATTTATGTTCAGAGAGAGAAGGTTTGAGGGAAGAAAGGGGAGGGAGAGGGAAAGGGAAAGCGGAAGGGAAAGCGGAAGCGGAAGCGGAAGGGAGGAGGGAGGGTGGAGACCTCCCCGGTCTCGCTCTGGGCCTGGGGGCACCGCGCTGCGCTGCCGCGTCCGGGCGGACACGTCCCCGGCCCCCGGGTGCTGTCATCCTGCCGGAAGGGAATCGACCCTCAGGTACCTGACCCCGCGGGTGGCTGAGGGGTCGGAGAGCCCGCCGCCCTCCCCCACCGCTCCCTCCGGGAGCGCCACTCCCCAAGAGCTGGGCTGGTCCGGGAGGGCTGCCCGGAGGGCGCGGAAAGGGGCCTCCGGGCAGGGGCCGAGTCTGCGGAGCCTGGGGCCGGCGGGCTGAGGCCGCCCGGGGAGCCGGCGTCTCGGGCGGGGGCCCGGGGGGCGGCGCGGCGTGGCTCCCGCGCGCGCGGGCGGGGCGCTGCCGCTACTCACGTAGTGCTGGCTGGGGACGAAGCGCTTCTCGAAGCCCAGGAGCACGATGTGGCGGATGAAGGCGTCCTCCATGGCGGGGCTGCGTGCGGCCTCACTGCTCGGGGCGCCCCCGGGCTGGGCCTTAAAAGGGCGCGAAAGAGGAAGTCGCTGCTCGGGACGCGGAGAGCGGTAGGGGGCGGGAGGGCTTCCTTCTTCTTTCGGCCGCTGGGACTCCGCGGCCCCCACCACGTGGACGCGGACGGCCACGCGCACGCGTGTGTGCCAGGGCGACCTGGCGCCCCCCACGAGGCCTCGCGGGCCGGGGGGTCCCCCGCCCCCCTCTCCTCGCGCCGCCCCACCCCGCGCCGCCTGCGCTTCTGCCCCCGGAACGCGGCCGCCTCGGGGCCTTCGCGCGCCGCCCGCCCGGCCGTCTCCCCCGCAGACGCGTCGCTGCCTCCCTCCCTTTCTCTGGGTTTCTGCTCGGAGAGGGCTTCCAGGACAACTACGCATAAAATAGCGAGACTCCGCGCTGCCACCGCGCTGCCCACCTGTCCTCATTCTGAGTACTCCCCTCAACCGACACGTCACTTTACTTTTCTACGACGTCTCTCCTCCCCAGAGTGTGAGCGCCGTGAGGGCCAGGGCTTGGCCTGTTCGGGCGCCCAGTGCGCTCTCCACAAATATTTGAATAGTGACCGCACCACGCACCGAGAATGAATGAATGAATGAGCGAATGAGTGAATGAATGAATGCCTCCAAGGGAGGGCGTGCGAGTCCTGGGCGCACAGCCCGGCTGGGACCGACTTTCTCACCTGAGTTCAAATCCTGATCAAAGAATAGACCCTCGCCGTTGACCGGTGTGACTCGGTCGGGCCTGGTTCCGCAGGTGAAAGGTGGGCGGCGGACTCCCCGGGGGGCCGAGCGGGGCTGGTCCCTGGTCCGGGTGGGTGGGAGAGGCACCCGATCGATGTTTGTCTCGCACATCGATGTTTCTCTCCCTCTCTTTCTCCTTCCCTTCCCTGCCTCTAAAACTTAATTAATTAATTAATTAATTAATTAATTAACTAATTAATTAGACCCTTAGGCCCTGGCGGAGTGGCTCAGCTGGTTGGACCTCCTCTCTATACACCGAAGGTTGTGGGTTCCGTGCCCTGTCGGGGCACCGGCGGGAGTCAGTCACTGACTGCGTGAATGGGCGGAACAATAAGGGGATCTCTCTCTCTCTTTCTATCAAAACAATAAATTTAAAAAAATAGGGGACCACCATTTCTGCCATCTCTGCCCAGAAGGGGATTTGGGAGGAACTGGGGAGGAGGGGGCAGCATGCCTGAATAGAGGCCACGGTCTCTCTCACTATAACCAAGTGCCCTTGGTCTGGGGCACTAGGACCAGGGAGATGGGGGCCCGGGAGGCTCAGAGGTTACAGAGCTGATCCCAAGTCGCACAGCTAGTGGCTCAGACCCAGGCAGTCTGGCTTCAGGCTCTGGTGGGCAGGACCGGTTTGCGGCCCAGGGGAAGACTGCAAGATTGAGACATGGCCCTGGCTGGTGGCTGAGTGGATTGAGCACCAGCCTGCCACACAAAGGGCTGCAGGTTCCATTCCTGGTCAGGGCACATGCCTGGGGGTCCGGCCAGGTCCCCATAGTAGGAGTAGGGGCACCCAGAGGCAACCACACATTGATTTTTCTCTCCTTCTCTTCTGTCTCTAAAAAAATTTTTTTTTTTTTAAGATTAAGAGACATGGCAAGCACTTTGCACCAAGAGCACTCATAGCCACAGGTCCCCCAGGACTATGGGGGCAGAGGGTCGGCATCTGGCTTGACAAGGTTTGCTTGGGAGGTCCCCTCCACTCACTGCTGCTCCCCGCACCCCACCAGGAGGTCATGAGCCCTGGGTGTGGCAAGCCTTACAAGTCCTTTCTCTGGTCATTTCCATTTATGTATCCAGGATCTTCCCACACAGAAGGGGACACTCCACAACAGTGGAAAGGAACAGTCACACACATGGGCAAACCTTCCAGACACAATGTGGTGGGAGAGAAGCAGACGCAAAGCACCCGTGCAGAACCTGTACCCCGAGCTCTAAACTGTGCCAAGCCAGCCTGTGGTGTTGGGTGACCTGGGGCGAGGGTGGGGGCCAGTAGCGACTGGAGGGGAGCAGGAGGCAGCAGGCGGCAGGCCTTTTCTTGGTAAGGGTGCTAGTCCAACAAGGGTGCTCACTTTCTGAAAACGAAGCTAAGCCCCAGACACAGATTTGTGGACCGCTCTCTTCTGTGGGTGTGTTTTACTGTAATAAAAGGCTGAACACAGCATGGGTTGGGCGGGGTCCTGTGATGGATAACTGTCCTCACTTAACTTCATGGCAGGAAGGCGGCCCCGGCAGCACAGGGCCGGGGCTCACTGCTGAGCAGCTGTCCCTCAGGTCCCCGACAGAGCTTGACCCACAGCATTGGTCACTTGGGTGCAGGGAAAGGAAGGGCAGCGCGGGACCTCCCGCTGAGCGCCGGTCGGCGGCCCTCAGCACTTCCTCCTCTTCCTCCCAGTGGTCTTTCCACTCTTGCGTAACTCTCTGGCCGGACAGGCCTGTGCAGACACCCGCCACGGCGTCCAGAGCCACCAGCTGCTACCTTTCCACTTCCCTCCTGTGGCCTCCCTGTGGCTCGCCCGGCAGAGAGGCATCTGAAGTACAGAGTGAAGGGAACTCCTGTCTCCTGAGTCAGCAGGCTCAGAGCCTTTTGTCAGGAGGAGGTGGGTTTCGTCTCAGGCACGGATAGAACAAGCGAGTGACCGCAGGATTAAAAAAGAAAAGGAATAAACACAAATGGAGGTAATAATATAAGATGGGGGTATGAGATAAACTTTGTAACATTTTATAACTTTTAAATTGTGAAATACATAGAAAATTGCAGAAAAATGTACAGTTTAACCAATGATTATAAAACTTTATTATAAAGTCGATATCTAGCTCTATGGGGTCCAGCAGAAGTAACGCCTGCTGGATGGACTGTGGTTGGCAGGTTAATAATATGACTGTAATAATTTATAGTTTTAATTTGACCATTTCACCTGGAATGCCATATGGTGTGCTTGAGTGTGATATTGATTTTTAAAATATTTTATTTATTTATTTTTAGAGAGGGGAAGGGAAGGAGAAAGAGTGGGAGAGAAACATCAGTGTGTGGTTGCCTCTCATGTGCCCCCTACTGGGGACCTGGCCTACAACCCAAACATGTGCCCTGACTGGGACTCGAACCAGCGACCCTTTGGTTTACAGGCCCGCGCTCAGTCCATTGAGCTACACCAGCTAGGGTGTGCTATTGTTATGTTACAGAATTATACGCTTGTGGTTTTGTAATAGAAAATTCTGTAATAAAAAAGGGACATTACTTGTGCTGGACTCCGTACATCACCTGGTACGAGAACAATGCCAAGTCCCTGGAACCCTCTTCCCCCCTCCCATCAAGTGTTTTTTTTTTTTAATTTTTTTATTGATTATGCTGTTACAGTTGTTCTATTCCCCCCCTTCATTCCCCTCCACCCTACCCCCCGTCCCCACCATTACCCCCCCCTTTAGTTTATGACCATGTGTCTCAAGTTCTTTAGATTCTATATTTCCCATGCTATTCTTGCCCCCCCATCTATTTTCTATCTACCGTCTATGCTACTTATTTTCTGTACCTTCTCCCCCCTTCTCCTCCTCCCACTCCCCTGTTGCTAACCCTCCTTGAGATCTCCATTTCTATGTTTCCACACCTGATCTAGCTGTCCTCTTAGTCTGCTTTTGTTTTAGGATTGGTTGTTAAAAACTGTGAGTTTGTTGTCCTTTCACTGTTCATGGTTCTTTAACTTCTTTTTCTTAGGTAAGTCCCTTTAACATTTCATATAATAAGGGCTTGGTGATGATGAACTTCTTGAATTTGATCTTATCTGAGAAGCACTTTATCTGCCCTTCCATTCTAAATGAAAGTTTTGCTGGATAGAGCAATCTTGGTTGTAGGTCTTTGGATTTCATGACTTGGAATACCTCTTTCCAGCCCCTTCTTGCCTGTAAGGTCTCTTTTGAGAAATCCGCTGACAGTGATGGGGACTCCTTTGTAGGTGACTGTCCCCTTAGCTCTTGCTGCTTCTAGGATTCTCTCCTTCATTTTAATTTTGGCTAATGTAATTATGATGTGCCTTGGTGTGTTCCTTCTTGGGTCCAACTTCTTTGGGACTCTCTGAGCTTCCTGGATTTCCTGGAAGTCTATTTCCTTTCTAGATAGGGGAAGTTCTCCTTAATTATTTGTTCAAATAAGTTTTCCACTCGTGTGTGTTCCTCTTCCCCTTCTGGTACCCCTATAATTCGGATGTTGGAGTGTTTAAAGATGTCCTGGAGGTTCCTAAGACTCCCCTCATTTCTTTGAATTCTTGCTTCTTCACTCTTTTCTGTTTGGCCATTATTTGCTTTCTTCTGGTCCACTCCATTGATTTGAGTCCCAGTTTCCTTTTCATTGCTATTGGTTTCCTGTGCAATTCCATTCATTTCAATTAGTTTCGCCTTCATATGTTTGTCTAATTTGTGGCTATAATCAACCAGTTCTGTGAGGATCCTGATCACCAGTGTTTTAAACTATGCGTCTGAGAGTTTTGCTATTTCTTCGTCGCTTAGATTTATAGGCTCTGGGGCTTTGAGATCTTCCTGAGCCATTTTTGGTCTGTTCGTGCCCGTTAAGTGTGAGAAGCAGAGCCTTGGACTCCCAGGTCGCTGGGTTGTGACGCTGTATGTGGGGTCGTGGTCAGAGCGGGGAAATGGCGGCCCCCTCTGCTGTTTCTTGCGGCTGGGTGAGGAGCAGAGCCTTAGGTGGTTCACCAGGGCCTGGCCACTCAGAGTCGCTGGGTTATGACGCTGTATGTGGAGGTGGGGTCAGAGCAGGGAAATGGCGGCGCCCTCCGTGCCGCTTACTGCGGGGACCCGCCGGGTCGCGGTCCAATGGCCCACTCCCTCGCTCGTCTATCGTGCACAAAGGCCCGACCGCAGTCAACCCGCAGCCCTGCTCCCTCGATGTTTCCCCGCGGTTGCTCACTTGGTTGCTCACTAGGTCCAACCCTGCGCCTGGATTCCGCACGCCTGAGTCCGTCTGACGGAGTTTTCCTGTGCAACCCCGCTCCACCAGCTGCTGGTTTCGCCCCTTACCGGTCAGGCTGAAGAATTTGTTGTTAATAGACTTCCGAAAAGTTCGATT